ATCAGGTTAGAAAGCTTGGATCTGAGTGGGACAATTGATGCAGAATCACTATGTAGGCTTAAGAAGCTGAGTTTTGAGCTTCGCTAAGGTTGAAGAAGACATGAAAAAGCTGAAGAAATTAAAAGTCCCTTCGGGGATATGATAAATTTGGATCGACGTAGCGATGACACACACAAATAGAGAAAGAGCTGAAGAAAGATGAGAGATTTGGTTTGAACAATGAAGGAGTGCCAAAAAAAGATACTAGTCTGCTACATTTGATCTTATGTCCTAAACCGTAAATGGTTAACATTACTTAATTTAACAATTTAACAGCAGTGACATGTTATGACTATTTTCGAATCGTCGTGAGTATTTACCCTTAATTTTAACTTGTATAGAACAGAGGTGTCTGACATTTTATGGATAGGAGTGGGCATGGGATGGCTGCAGACACCCCAATCCATTTGTCCTGTCATTTTTTTCTAAAGAAAAATAATGAAGTTGGGTTGGGATGGGCATTCTTAAAATTATGGATATACAAATTGTTAGGTGACAAGCCAAGGATAATTCCGTAAGATGATTATTGTGTTTTGAAACTCAAAACTTAGCAGTACCTATTTTGTTTTGATTTCTCCTAAATCAGATTCTCATAGCTGCATAAGACATCATAATGCAATGGAATTATTAAACTACACAGTGATAAGTTTCAAAGGAGCGAAGTCGCCCAACAGTGTGGCTGATCTTGACCACTTATCCTTTCTCCAGCGTATAGTAACTTGCCATCCCATCAGTTTGTAGCAAGCATGGGATCTGATATATACAACCAAAATTCTAAGTTAAATAAGGTCATAAATTACTCCACTTGCATAGGGATGTCAAAGAAAAATAATCTGACTAATGCACTAAGATAAAACATAAAATCAATAGAGTCACACTCTTCACATGTTATGAACAGTGTCTGATTCTTTAGATTCTATGCAATTCGCAGGTCTCACTTAGTTCTTAAAGAAGAAGAACTATATTCCATGTAATGTAGAACTATATTGCCTTTATCATCAGCCAAGCAATTATGTATATCTAGAAGAAGAACTGCAGAACTACATTGCCTTGATTCATCAGCCGAGCGATTATTCACTAAACTAGCTGTTACTTTACTCATTCTTAATTGTATACTTTTTCCTATGCAGCAAGGCAATTTATTGAATTATCAGACAGAGGACTCCTTGTTCTATGAGCCAAAATTATTGAAGTGTATGTAAGTTCAATGTCTAATTGAATATTTACTCCCTCAAAAGTTCCAACCTTACTGCCGCTTCACGTTTGTACATTTTGGAGATTAACATAGTAATGGAACTTCTGATATTGCAAGCGAATAGCAAGGGCACATTGGTGCTTCCTAGCGGGCAATTTAATTAAAACATACACGGGTAGATATAAATAATACCTGCCTCGCTTCCATTTTGTACTTCTCAAGCAATCTATCCTTCTCATCTGTAGTCAACACCTCATACTTAGGTTGTAATATATGCTTTGAGATATTCACCAGCAAGTCATGGATCTATAAACAATATCATTTGTTTAAAAGAATATAAATATTAGAATCAGGATAAACAATATTCGAGACAAAAAAAAAAAAACAAAAGCAGAATAATAAATCAGAAGGCCTGGGATGTTAACTAAGTGCATGAATGCTGTTCAATCCATGTATAAGAGAAATGAAAATTCCTTTGAGAAAATCAGACGAGCATTGAAGTGCAACCAAATGGAGAATTCTCCAAGACTAAGGAAGATACTTTAAACTTCTCCGAGAACACCAAAATGCTTATTGCAACGATAACTCATTGCTGGAAGAAATGAATGGGGCAGAATTTCTTATCGGATCTGTACATTGGAGAAGGACGAAGAGGATGCAGATGCAGTTCAGGATCATGATAATGGAGTTGAGGGAAAGGAAAAGAAGAAGAAAAGGAAGGAATCTAGTGAGAATGGTGAGTTGAATGGAGACAATGACGCGAATGTGGGAGAAAAGAAGAAAAAGAGGAAAAAGCATGCTAAGGAAGAAGAATCAGCCGAAATGCCCAAGAAAAAGAAAAAGAAAAAGAAGAAAGTAGAGGATCAATAGGGATTGAATTTGTTGTTATCAGCTAATTCATGTTGCTGGTGACAATCAGTTTTGCATATCTCAGGCTACTCGGCGCTTAAATCTATATTAATATACCCTCATGTCTAATTGCTTGTTTTCTCTTCTAATGGGGTGTGCTGTGTATTTGAGGAAATTTTGATGCTGTGATATTTGTGCATTAAAGATGCTGCTGGTTCTAAACTTAAGCTTTTTCAATTCTCTTTCATAATCTCGGCGCATTATTTTGCTAACATGTTGAGCATGTAACTTTTCATTCACGTTGATGCAATAGATTACTGAGGTGATCTGTCTTCTAATCTATGCCATGCGTGCTTCGGAATGTTCATGGAAAGTTGACTTTGCTCAAGTTTACAAATATATGTATGAAGGTTTAATTTTTGGACAGAGTTCAATTAAAAGTTTACATGAACGCGTGTGTATATAACTTGCATTAATACAAGCGGACAAATATACCCTGGTGTTAAGAAATGATATTACAACGTGTGCACACATGTATGTGTATAATTATATTTATGTCGTGTACGAGGGTCTATGTTTCTAGCTTTACTCGTTGGGGTTGGTCTACCTACCTCAAGAACGCTCACGTGAATTTTAACTCAGTGGAGGCTTATTCCTGAATAGCAATGAGATAGAAACAAGATCGGACTGGCTACTAGGACTGGTGATTTTTGATGAACTAGCAAATCGGTGACCAATCCGATTTGGTTGACTGCAAAACTGAGAATGTAATTCAATTGGTAAAAAATGGTCAACATGGTCTTGATAAATTCCGATGGTCCAAAAACCAAAGCTGAAAATGGAGGAAGAGGAGATAGCTACATGTGAAAGAAGGTGATGCTTAGCGTTAAAAGCCCAAAGCGTAGAAGAAGTAAGATATAATAAGGGGAGAAAAAAAACAAGGGAAAAGGATGGGCCTAGAATGCCCAAAAGAAAATGTACTTTGAATGTGGAAGATAAAAAATGGAAGACCACGGCGGAGACAAGAAGCAGAGAGTTGGCGAAGGGGGACAAGATGAGGGTGAGATAGAATGGAAATTAAAAGATGAGTTCTGATATGATTCACAGCTTATTTCTGTTTTCTCTTTTTTGTGTTTCCATATCACCAAGTTCCTTCTCCTTCCCTTCACAGGGTTCTCCCTGATGCTAATTTGAGTCCCATTCCCTGTTGCTGGAAAGGGGTTTGCCAGACGGGGACGAGTTCTACTGGTCAGTTGAGCCCATCAACGGGACTTTTTTAAGAAAACAAAAATGAAAAATTTATTGGCGATCTTATCTGATGATATGATTTACCTTTTCCCCACCCCCCTATTTTGGTTTGCTCTTGACTATTGTGCACTTTGTTTTTTTATATGCGCGTTACAAAGGGCCAGGCCATCAAACGAAAGAGGAAATGCGACTACCGTTCGTGGAAGCCTGCTGTTGGAAACTACACAAGACTAACGGACGGTTACATTAATATAAACCCTACAAGTTGAACTTTCATTTCGGTCTTCACAAACTTGTGAGATTACTGTATCATGGCGAAGAGAGCACGATCTTCTTCAGTCACCTACATATAGAGTTATGATGTGTTTCTTAGCTTTCGAGGGTAAGATACTCACTTAAATTTCGTCGGTCATCTATGCGAGTCTCTTCGTAAAAGCAGGATTCGTGTCTTAAATAATTAATTTCCACACAAACTACTACTAATTTGTAAATATTAAAAAAATTAGTCAAGTTAATAATTTATAAAAAATATATATTAATTTTTTAAAATACCCATATAATTATTTGCATTGAAAAATACCTTTTAATGAATAATCCTTAATATGTGTAAGGAGAATTTGGAGAAAAAAATTATAAATTTAGAAAACAAACTAAATTAAAATAATTATGTTTAAGACCAAAGAAAATTTCTATGCTAGTTTTTATATTTAAGATTAGAGATAATATACAACTATTTATGTGCACGCAGTGTTCATCCCTATTTAAATTTTTTACGGTGGATACAAATATAATGAGAGGGAGGGAGTAAAAAGATGTCAGGAAGCAAGTCCAACAAGCAAATAAGCAAATGAAAAATGAATTAAGGAGGAGTCTAATAAAGTGCCAAGTAAGAATATTGGTGACAATAAAACAACTTGTCATGGCAAATTTTATTTATAAGAGTAAATCACAACTTATTATGAGAATTTACTGATAATGATCATTATTTTTAAAAAAATCATCGTACAAATGAATTATTAACAGCCTGTAATCTACCGTCACCTGTTGACCAGCTAGTAACAAAATGAAGCTCCCAATTAATTAATAAAAAGAAAATTTGAGAATAATTGTACTGATTCTTTTTTCCCCCATGTGCACCCACGAAATAATTGTACTGATATGTGCTCTTTTCTGCTTTGTTTCCTAAAGGAACTGTCGCTTGGTTCACGCGTGACTGATCAGCACCGAAAGCATAAAGAGTTCTTGTCGACCAAATCAAATAATTTCATTACTTTAGCTCAACCAATTGTATCAAGGAAGCTCTGATGTGATTTAGCTTATTTTTATTTTCTCTTCTGTGTTTGCATCTCACCAAGTTCCCTCTCCTTCCCTTCATGGTGTTCTCCCTGATTTCAATTCGAGTCCCACTCCCCGTTTCTGGAAAAGAGGTTTGCCAGACAGGGCCCAGTTCCACTGGTCCGTTGAAATTCATTGTTGATTTGATCTGATGAGATAAATTGGCCTTTCCCCTTTTTGGTTTTGCTTTTGACCATTGAGCGCTCGTCTTTCTGTTATTTTCAGAGGGCCACCAAATGAAAAGGAAATGTGACGATCCTTCGGGGAAGCCTGCTGTTGGCAACTTACATTAATATAAACCTACAAGTTCACAGACCTCTGAGATTACTGTATCATGGCGCAAGGAGCGGGATCTTCTTCTGTCACCCACAGATGGAGTTATGATGTATTTGTTAGCTTTCGAGGGGAAGATATTCGCTTGAATTTTTTGGGTCATCTCTGCGAGTCTTTTCGTCAAAGAGAGATTCGTACCTTCACTGATGATGAATACCTCGTTGCAGGCGAAGAAATCCGATCGTCTCTTTTCAGAGCCATCAAGGAATCCAGGATAGCCATCATAATTTTCTCCAAAAACTATGCAACCTCAACCTTCTGTCTGGATGAACTTGTCCAGATTGTTGAGTGCTTCAAAGAAGAAAGTCGGCTGGTGTATCCAGTGTTTTATCATGTGAATCCCTCAGATGTGCGACATCAGACAGGGAGTTACGGACAAGCTTTGGCTAATCTGCAGAACAAACCGGGAATAAAGGATGAGAGGTTGCAGAAGTGGAGGTGGGCTTTGTCTCAGGTAGCTGACTTTTCAGGCTGGCATTTCCAACCAGGGTATCCCCTCTTTTTCTTGTTGGTATTTTCCGTCCAATTTTTAAGATTTTTATAGTGAGTAATATATTTTCCTATAACTGTAACCCAAGTTAAAATTGCACTCCCTACAAAATATGCTTATTTTTAATTATTTATATTAAAAATGAGCTGGTGTCTTGCAACTACAAGGAAGGAAGGCGAAAACGTTTTAATTTCTAGATGATATGGAACCATGTTTTATATTTTTAAACTTACTATTCATAATTGTGGATTTGTGGATCTGAAAATTTGTTTGTTTATTTCATCTATAATTGGCCCATCAATATATTTTTGGTTTGAATAAAGGATAAATTTTTATGGACAGGATTACAAAAGAACAAGAGCATATTAAAACGATTACTCATGAAGTCTCTGCCAAGATCAATCTCAGTCTTTTAGAAGTTACAGAATATCCAGTTGGCCTTGAGTTTCGAGGGAAAGAAGTAATTTCACTTCTGGATCTTGGATCTAACAAAAACCCACTGATGATTGGAATTTGTGGCATTGGTGGGATAGGCAAATCAACAATTGCAAGAGCTGTGTATAACTCAGTTGCTGATAATTTTGATGGTTTGTGTTTTCTTTCTAATGTTAGAGAAATTTCTTACAAGCATGGCTTGTCACATCTTCAAGAGACATTACTTTGTGAATTGGTGGGAGAGAAGGAACTCAAATTGGGTAATTTCTATAAAGGAATTTCAATAATAAAGAATAGGCTCCAAAACAAGAAGATTCTTTTAATCCTTGATGATGTTGACAAAGTGGAGCAATTACGAGCATTAGCTGGAAGCTGTGAATGGTTTGGCCTGGGAAGTAGAATCATTATCACGACAAGGGATAAACAGTTGCTAGCAAGTCAGGGAATCCAAAGAATTTATGATGTCAAGGGGTTAAGTGCTGATGAATCTCTTCAGTTAATTAAAAGGCATGGCTTTAAAGGGCTTACGGGGGATTTAGATCATTACAAGGATGTTCTGAATCGTGCCATAAAATATTCATGTGGCCTTCCATTAGCCTTGGAAGTGATTGGCTCTAATTTATGTGGTAAAGAAGTTGATGTATGGAGTTCTGCATTAAATGATTATGAAGCTATACTTGATAAAGATGTTTTTGAGGTCCTTAAATTAAGCTATAATGCTTTAAGCAGAGAAGAACATAAGGAAATTTTTCTTGACTTGGCCTGTTTTTTTAATGGTGAGAAGTTGGGAGACATCATAAATATGATGATGAGATTTCGTGGTGTTGAACCAACACATGCCATTAATGTGTTGATGGATAAATCTCTAATCAAGATTAAAAAAGATCGTGTGATAATGCATGACTTGATTGAAGATATGGGTAAAGAAATTGTTCGGCAACAATCACGAAATGAGCCTGGGAAACACAACAGGTTGTGGTGTTATGAAGACATTATTGATGTCTTGCAAAATAACACGGTGCGAACACAACACAAATGACACTGTTTAATTCTTACATTTATATGACTTTTGTATACTTAAAATTTGGTATTTATTGTGTGCTTTTCATTTTAAAGGGCACTGATGAAATTGAAGTCATAATTCTTGATTTACCCAAAGATAAAGAAATCCAATGGAATGGCAGGGCATTCGAGAAGATGGAGAAGCTCAAAGTGCTTGTCATAAAGAATGCAAGCTTTTCTGAAGGCATCAAATATCTCCCAAATAGTCTGTGTGTGTTGGAATGGAAGGGGTACCCTTTTGAGTTTTTGCCATCTAATTTTCATCCAACAAAACTTGTCCATCTTGATTTGTCCAATAGTTGTGTAGTGCCTCAACTTTTTGATAAGGTATGCTTATATACGTACTCTTAAAACTAAGCGCTTTTTTTATTTTCTTTATCTAACTTCTTTTTCCATTTTCAATTTTGCAGAAATTACAGAGTTTAAGTCGCGTGAATATTAGCAACTGTAAAGTCTTGACCGAAATACAAGACTTGTCAGAAGTCCCTAATTTAACAGAATTGTGGCTTGATGGTTGTATAAACTTAACTAAAATCCATGATTCCCTTGGATTCTTGGGTAAACTCAAAAGATTGAGTGCTATGCGATGCAAAAACTTGAAGACTTTACCCCCTCGTATTAAGCTAACATCCCTTGAACATCTAAATCTCTTTGGCTGCTCGAGCCTTAAAAGTTTTCCTGAGATATCAGACAAGATGGAGAAGTTGAAGACACTTGATTTGGAGAGTACGGCCATTGAGAGTTTGCCATCTTCAATTTGCAACCTCGTTGGACTTGAAAGCTTAAACATGGAAGCGTGTCCTAATCTTAAGCAATTACCAGCTAGTATTTGTATGTTGCCAAACCTATTGGACCTAACAACAAATTTTTGTGAAGAGATAAAGGATTTCGAGAAATGCAATGGTGGAAATAAAGCAAGCTCAGACTGCTCAATCATTTTGACCAAAGGAAAAGAAAAAGAAGACAACTCAACCGTGTCTTTGAGAAAACATTTCGGTTTCTCAAATTGCAACTTAACAAACGACTCTCTTGCTCTCTGTCTCTCTTGTGTTCCTGACATTGTACATTTAGATCTAAGGTTTAATAGCTTCACAACTCTTCCAGCATGCATAGAAGAATGTGAGAATTTAAGATATCTCTTGCTGGATCATTGCACGCAATTGCAGAAAATTATTAGGATGCCACCAAAATTGGAAACATTCAGCGCCATAGGTTGCACGTCTTTGTCTCAGTCATCCAGAAAAAGAGTATTGGATCAGGTCTATCTCCCCTTTAATCTTTTCTTAATCATCTTCCTTGGGTACTTATAGTTTATTTATCATTTTACGGTATTATATGTAATTTGCAGGCATTCTACTTTGGAAACGGGAAAAGAAACTTTGTTTTGCCAGGAAAAAGAATCCCTCAATGGCTTGACTATTATAGTCGAGGAAGCTCCGTGTCTTTTTGGATTCGTCATAAGTTCCCAAAAGTTGCTCTTTGGTTTCTTGTTGAAAATGACCAAGTTTATCCTTATAGATGTATATTCTCAGTGCACATTAATGACACCAAGTTAGATATTTCTTCAGAGTGGCTTTTACTGTCAACTATACTGGGTAATCATATATACATATGTGACATGGAAAGCATAATTAAGAAGGTTCAACTTCGTCATGCAGATAGATGGAATCAAGTAAAGGTTTCAATTAAGAGCCATACACAAGAAGTAATAATGGACAAGGAAATTTTTATGGCAGTTCATGCATACAGGCAACAAAATGACTTTGCAGATATTCGATTCAGGGACCCGAGAATATACCTTGATTGCAACTCATGGCAAAAAGCACAACAATCGCCTCGAGATTGGGAAGAACTTGAAGATGAAATGAATGAGGATCCAAATTCAACAAAAGTCGCAGAGTCAGTCCAAAAAATCACGCGTTATCAAGGTATGCCCCACTTTTCTGGCATTTTGTGTTAGCGCAATACTACTTCTAATTTTTAATATAAGACCCAGTTAACTAATTTTTGAGAGATTAAGAAAATTATTAAATTACTTAATTATAATATATATTACATGATCTCTTTAAAATACTTATGTATATCATTAGGTTATATATGAATTTATAAGTAAGTTAAATTAGTTTAAGAAAATAAATATAAATACTTTAAAGTAATTTAGGAATTTTTTAATCTCTCTAAATTAGTCAATTAAGTCTTATATTAAGGACCAAAAGTAACATATTCTTTTCAATATAAATACGTAAGTTATTTTCCATGACTAGTGTGCTCTGGCCAACTTTAGTTGAAGGCGCAGGGTATATGAAGTCTCCAGAGACTTGAGAAGAGTATTCAACAAATTTACAGGACTCACTTATAGATAAATCTTTTCTTCAGGACTTATATGTAATTTTTCATAAATTCTTTGAAGCTAAACAGGTGGTTTATAAAAAAGCGTTAATGTTTGCCACTAGGACAGCTGCTATTTTGACATTATCAACGTGTTGGTCCAGATTTTGAACTAGTTGTCGGTTATGGTAAAACAGTGACGAATCTGTGGCCAACAATTTCTTAATTTTCTCAAAAATAATTTTTTTCACTTGTAAAAATATTTTGAGCATTTTGCAGCCCCCCATGCATTTTTTTCCCCAAATTCTTGCTCCTTACGTGTCCAATCCTAAATTCGTCCATGTTAGGAAAACCATAAAAATTCAAATTTGTGTCAATTTTTCATAATAGCAGACTTTCTTACCAAACGCGTGGTGCACCAAGCTTTCGAGTGTTTGAACCTGACAGTCTGAGCGGGGATCTTGGCTTGGGTTGATGATGTAAATCCTCAATCGTATAGTAGTCTTGCCTTTCCTTTCCGTTGGATCCAAAAAACAAATATATGTGTGTGTCCGTGTGTGCCTATATATATATATATATATATATATATAAAAGAATGTATGACCATATGTGTGTGTTTGGGTATCAGTCAACTTCTTCCTACTGCCAACATTAATTGATTTCAATTAATTAATTAATAGTCGGGTTCTCTCTAGCTCCTCTTCACTTTTCCTCTGGTCTGTTAGATTAAATTTGAACAAAGAAAAATCCCATAAAACATAACCGGAAAATTATGCAATGTCAAATTAAGATTTTTATATTTTGATATGTTATCTAGGCTTGATTTGCAAATGACATTTTATTGTTTTAAGAATTCTTGATCTAGAATTTAATTATTTTCAGTTTTTTTAAGGATTTTCTCCTTAAACAATTTAGATTTAGCACTTTATAAAATAGTTTTATATGGTCCAAATCAAATTTAACTTCAAGGTCAAAAACAAAAATCAAATTTAACTTACTTTCAATTTATTTCCTTTGGTTTCTAGCAGAAGCAGAACCCATGGCTACTGAGCTTGTGGGTGGAGCATTTGATTGGCTGGCGCAAGGAGTGGGATCTCCTTCTGTCACCCACAGATGGAGTTATGATGTGTTTCTTTGCTCTAGAGAGGAAGATACTCGCAGGATTCGTACCTTCATTGATGATGAATCCCTCTATGCAGGCAAAGAAATCCGACCGTCTCTTTTCGAAGCCATCAAGGCATCCAGGATAGCCATCATAGTTTTCTCCAAAAACTATACAACCTCAGCCTTCTGTCTGGATGAACTTGTCCAGATAATTGAGTGTTTCAAAGAAGAAAGTTGGTTGGTGTGTCCAGTATTTTATCATGTGGATCCCTCAGATGCGCGACATCAGACATGGAGTTACGGACAAGCTTTGGCTAATCTGCAGAACAGACCGGGAATAAAGGTTGAGAGGTTACAGAAGTGGAGGTGGCCTTTGACTCAGGCAGCTGACTTGTCAGGCTGGCATTTTCAGCTTGGGTATGCCCTCTTTTTCTTATTGTTATTTTTCATCCAATTTTTTAGATTTTTATAGTAAGTAATATATTTTCTTATAACTGTAACCCAAGTTAAAATTGTGCTCCTTACAAAATATGCTTATTTTTAATTATTTATATTAGAAATGAGCTTGTGTCTTACGACTACGAGGAAGGAAGGCGAAAACGTTTTAATTTCTAGACTATATGGAACCATGTTTTATATATTTAAACTTATTATTCATAATTGTGGATTTGTGTATCTGAAAATTTTTTTGTTTATTTTATCCTCATTCTCATTCCATTTCATTCTATAATTGGCCCACCAATATATTTTTGGTTTGAACAAAGGATAAACTTTTATGGGCAGGATTACTAAAGAACAAGAGCATATTAAAACGATTACTCGTGAAGTCTCTGCCAAGACAATTAATCCCACTCTTTTAGGAGTTGCTGATTATTCAGTTACCCTTGAGTTTCCGGGGAAAGACATAGTTTCACGTCCATATCTTGGGTCCAACTGAAACCCGCTGATGATTGGAATTGGTGGCATTGGAGGGGTAGGTAAATCAACAATTGCAAGAGCTGTGTATAACTCAATTGCTGATAATTTTGATGGTTTCTGTTTTCTTTCAATGTTAGAGAAATTTCTAACAAGCATGGGTTGTCCCACCTTCAAGAGACATTAGTCTATAAATTGGTGAGGGAGAAGGAACTCAAATTGGGTAATTTCCATGAAGGAATTTCAACAATGAAAAACAGGCTCTGAAACAAGAAGATTCTTTTCCGTGTAATGTTCTGCTCTATTTTCATTAAGTGCTGACTCTACTGTATTTTGCAGACATATAATCCTGCTGCTGACTCTACTCTTCGTCGAGCAGATGTGAACACTGAAGAGGAGCCAATGAAAATTGAAGATGGAACCCAGGAGCCTTCTGTTAGTAAGAAGAAAGAAAAGAAAGAGAAGAAGAAAGGGAAGGAGAAGAATGAATAGGATGCAGATGCAGTTCAGGATCATGGTAATAGAGTCGAGGGAAAGGAAAAGAAGAAGAAAAGGAAGGAATCTAGTGAGAATGGTGAGTTGAACGGAGACAATGATGCAGATGATGCGGGAGAAAAGAAGCAAAAAGAGGAAAAAGCTTGCCGAGGAAGAAGAATCGGCCGAAATGCCTAAAAAAGAAAGAAAAAAAGAAGAAAGTGGAGGATCAATAGGTATTGAATTTGCAGTTATCAGCTAATTCATCTGCTGGTAACAATCAGTTTTGGATATCTCAGGCAACTCGGTGCTTAACTTTTTATAAATATATCCCCATGTCTAATTGTTTGTTTCTCTTCTAATGGGGTATGTTGTATTTCAGAAAATTTTGATGCTGTGATATTTGTGCATTAAAGATGCTGCTGGTTCTAAACTTTTTTCAATTCTCTTTCATACTCACGGCGCTTTATTTTGCTAACATGTTGAGCATGTAACTTTTCATTAATGTTGATGCAATAGATTACTGAGGTGATCTATCTCTTTAAAATGCTGATCGCCTACTCAATTTCTAATCTATGCCATGCCTGCTTTGGACTATTAAAGTTGATTCCGCCCATTATATAAACACTTGTAAGCATGTTTAGCATAAGTTGAAACAATTTTTTTTATGTGCTTCCACCGTATACTGTAAATCACTGTTGAAAACTCATTTTAAATAAGTTTCAAGGCATATGCATGGTATATGTTTTTTTATTGGAATGGTATGTCATTTTATTTAAAGTTTACCCAACCAAGCTGGGCATTTGTTTTGTGGGGTGTCAGCCTATGTCTGTCACTTTTCTACTCTTCCAACATCTTTGCTTTGAAACTGTTAGGTCGGAATATACAGGAGGAAATTCAGAGTTTCAAATAGCATTACAAAGTTAAATTTAATTATATAAAATAATTCTTTTTCTACAAGTACAAAATAACACTTGATCAATGTTATAAAAATCGTGATTTACAAGCAGGTGATGTTGTGATCCCACTGACTAGTTTCTGGTTAGCTCGGACATGAAAACGGGGATGTGTGGACTCATATTGAACTCGAATAAAAAAAAATTAATAAAAAAAATTTATCAAAAGAAGCTTGAAATTATTAAATTTCAAATAAAAAATTTCTATAAAATGTGTTTTCATGTACAAATAGTGTTACTAAAACCTAGTAAAGTATGTAAAAATAGTTTTATTTGGACTTATATGAGTATTTTTTTCAAATCATTGTGAGGGGTTACCAAGCTCCCAAAATGAAATCAAAATATATACATGAAATAGCGAGTTTCTTCATCAATTGGCCACTACTGGTAAGGTTTTACACATTGCGTTTTGATCATATTTATGAAACTTATTTTATGTGATAAATAAATTTGAAGCCTTTTTAAAAACAATTAATCAATACCTTCATTTATGAGTTTCATAAAATTTTCTATATTGAATATGATATGGGTTAATGTGTAAATTTTTCTTAATTTGTCCCAAAAATTTACAATCATAACAATGTTACTCTATATCGTTGAAAATGTTGACGAAAGAATTCGCTTACGTGATTTAACATGTTAATATCTAATTTCTCCAAGTAAATTATATGAAAATAACTCGTGAAAAATCTTAAAATTGCTAAATCTCAAAATGAGTACATAAACAATGGGGCAACAAATCACGAAGTGGCATTTTAAAATTTAAGTTAAAAGGCAGAATGCCGCCATTTATATCAAACCTCTCGCCATTAAGCTGCCAATGTCAAAGCTCCGGGGCTGGGAAGAGGTTTTTTTTTTCTTGTTTCTTTTTTTTGTTTAAACCCAATAAAGGTGGAATTTGATTCCACTACCACTTGGGTATCTTGCACTACAAAAAAATATGTTAATTCTAGCGGTTAGAGTGTTACATTTCTAGCGGTTTTAACCGCAACAAATAAAATTTGTAGTGGTTAAGGAAACCGCTAGAAAAACAGGTGTAAGAAAAAATTTCTAGCGGTTATCGCAACCGCTACACATCATGGTCAAAACGATAGAAAATTTCTAGCGGTTCCGAACCGCTAGAAAATATCTGAAGGAGACACATTCCTAGCGGTTACAAAACCGCTAGAAATTTTTCCGGGAAAAAGTTCTAGCGGTTATAAAACCGCTAGAAACTTTTCCCGGAGAACATTTCTAGCGGTTTTGTAACCGCTAGGAACCTGCTAAACGAAATTCATTTTGCCGGGAATTAAATAATTTCAGTAGCGCGCGAAAATTACTAGCGGTTATAGAACCGCTAGAAATTTTTGGGAAATTAAATTTTCCCGCCAATTGAATTTTAGGAATGGCGGGAAAAACTTTTCTAGCGGTTTGAACCGCTAGAAATTTTGGCGCAAAATTTAAATTTGACGAAATATTTCTAGCGGTTCGGAACCGCTAGAAATGTTTACCGTGCCAGAAAAAAAAATTTATGGTTTTTCATATTATAATTTTAAAAACCATTAAATAAATTATTTTGAAGAATTTTTGTTAATTTGTATAATTAGTTATATGTTACATTTTATATATTCAAATTTTGTAATAAAAAATATGTAATTAAATTATGAATGTGTCAAAAGAAGTGAATTTAATTTAATAAGATAATTTAATTGAATATTTAATAAGATAGTTGAATTGAAGATGATATATTTTGGAATATTGAACCTATAGTATTAGGTTGATGAGTATTTGAATCAGTTGAGGAGGGCATGACAAATGTGGAGAAGAAAAATCTGAAAGGAAAGGAGAAATAAATATGTTAGTAAATTTCAAATAAAAGATACAATGAATTATAAAATAAAATTCACTTACCATAGAGTAAAGAGAAAAAAAACCACAATATGAGATAGTAAGAAAAAAAGAGAGAATTATGAAGAAGAATAGGAGAGGAAGGAAAAGAGATGGAATAAATGAATGTAGAGAAGATATGGTATTTATAGAGATCAGCGACACATTTGTAGCGGTGTTTTTGTAGCGTTTTATTGCATTTTGTAGCTGTTATTCATTTTCTAGCGTATATATAAGCGCTAGTAATTAGTAGCGGTTATATATGTAGCGGTTATTAACCGCTAGAAATTTAGTATTTTTTATTTTTAAAATCTGAACGAATTTTAATTTACAGGTATGTATTTTGTAGCGGTTAATAACCGCTACAAATTACAATTTCGTGAAAATACATTTGTAGCGATTAATAACCGCTACAAATTACAATTTCGTGGAAAAATTTGTAGCTCGCTACAAATGAAAATTTTTTTATTTTTAAAAAAATTTTACGAATTTTAATTTATACATATGTATTTATGGACGAAAAATTTGTTAAATAATTTATTTTGGATGCTGCTACTCTCCATCATCATCCGGCCTGAAAGGACACATTTTAAAAAAATTTGTTAAATTTATGTTGTATTTGGAAAAAATTAGTAATTAGTAGTTAATTATTTAAATAATTTAAGAAAAGACGTGTACCTGATAAGTGGCAAATTATCATCTCCTTGAGGAAAGAAGTCTTCAAAATTCGAGGGTTGGAAGGGTTCACTGTCGTAAATAATGTCACCATCACCCATATCGTAAAGATCCCGTGGCTTGAGGTGAACGACCATATTCCAGTCTTTATGTTTCTCGTCCTCGACATAGTAAATTTGGTGTGCCTCAGAAGCAAGGATATATGGCTCATCATCTTCAGATGCCCCCGTATGAATAAGTCTAGAGAAATTGACTGAGGTGATGCCCAAATGGTCAGTAGCGAGTCCCCGTGAAGTTGTCGTATTTGCCCAGGAGCATTTGAACAGTGTCACGGTGAAAAGCTGGTAACTCAACTCAATAATGTCAATTAGCTTTCCATAGTAAGTGACGCCTCCAAAGCGCATATCGCCATCACTACTGCTAGCATAACATCTCGTTCCGAATGTCCCGCAAACTCCAGAGTTTTGTGTGAGCAATCCCTGATCACGTCCAACCGTACAGAACTTGAAGCCGTTGACATTGTACGCGGTAAACCTTCGTGCATGGTCTAACGGACCGAGAGAAAGAGCTTGAATTCATCTGTGTATGGGCTGTTGTCATTACGTATTCGACGTGTAAACCAACTGGGAAACTCTTTGTGGACTCTTTTATCAATGTCAGCAGAACGCGCACGGCCCCGTAGCTGACGCCTGAGATAACTCCTAAACTCACTATAGTAAAGTGTAATTTGTTAGAAGAGTCAGTAAGAAACAAATATAAAGTGTAAAAGCTAGTGAGCTTATATGATATATATACTTACTGCATGAAGGGTTCAACTTGGCTGCAATTTATCAAAACGTGTCTGTGTGCCTGGAGTTTCTCTGTAGGAGTGAGTCTGAAGAATTCATATCCTCCAACTGGTTTCCCAACAGGAGGAAATAAAGTTGACGTGGAAGGACCGGGAGGAGAATCATCTACGCGACGCGGGCGGTTAAAAGATGTCTCCATGTCATCAAAGTACCTCGAACAGAAAGTTAGGACCTCATCTCCGGAATAACCTTCTGCTATTGACCCCTCAGGCCATGCCTTATTCCTAACATATGATTTTAATTTTCCCAAGTACCTGTAAGTTAAAATTGCATTAATAATTACGAGTAAATGAAAGAACAATGTGAAATTTAAAGAGGCGGGAATAAAAGATAATCTAGTACCTCTCTATAGGGTACATCCATCGATAGTGAACTGGGCCAGCAACCTTTGCTTCTCGAACAAGGTGGACAGTCAAGTGAACCATAACAGTAAAGAATGATGGAGGAAATATCATCTCCAAGTGACAAAGTGTAGAATAATTTTATTTTGCAGCTGATCAAGCTCTTCCGCTACCAAGACCTTCGCACACAACTTCTTGAAAAATGAACATAATTCTACCAAAACCACCGATACATCAGAAGGAAGTGTGTTTTTCAAGGCCAATGGAAGTAACTGTTGCATAAGAACATGAGAGTCATGACTTTTCAACCCAGTAACCTTTCGAGCCTGCAG